TCCTTTCGGGAACTCCGAACCCTCGCACTGCAGAAATATTTTGTTCCTCAGAGAAATTTAATAGAAATCCAAACTGTTGTTTCTATCGCCATCTCCAGATAGGCTGCTATTCACCCAGACCATGGTGAACTTCACGTAACGCAAATATTTTTTGCATAAACCCGCCATGAAATGATCTCGTGACCACGATTGACCGGTGAAAAAGACTTTCACCACATTTGTGCAATGAACAGCATCTAAAAAAAAAAAAAGACTCATTCATCGCCGCGGGTGGAATCGGATTGGAACGGTGCGGGAAGGGAATAGGAATCTTTAGAACCTTCCAAACTGCGTGCGGAATGAGCGCGGAAGAGAGCGGGATGCGGAGGACCGAGGCCGATGAGGGAAGAAGGTGTGGATGGGGTGAGGAAAGCCGAGCGTACGGCGTGGAAGGGCGGTGCGCATGGCCCTTCTTCCCATTGGATGCATCCTCGATTAAAACGGTCTGTCTGGTGTCAATGATATGATGAATACGGCAACTCCTGGTTTTGCACAATTGTCGCGTATTTCTCACACAGACTCCATTCGTCACATTTCTCCAAGGAAGAAGAACGAGCGAGAGAAAGGCGAGAAATGAGTCGTTTCAAGAATGATACATGGAAAAGAGATTTCTGAACTTGTTTTGCGATCTTGGGATACCGCCATCGATTTTGATTATCGCCTCCCTTTTGGTTAAAATTATTACGTTCTAAATGCGCCTGGGAAAACTCGGTATTGCACGACTTTTCCAGGCACCTGGTTTCTGTACCGATTGCCCTGGAGTGAGTACTGAACTCCTTGCCATGGTTATCGCTAAGTACGCTCGATGGACTCGAATCGGCGCGACAATATGCGCATCGGACGGACATGATTCCATTTCGTTATCTCTATGGCTGCCGTCATCTCCAGTCCCCTAATATTTTTTTTTAAATACAATTTTCTTCTCTTTTCTTCTGTAGTACTCGTCTGTCTCCTCGTCTCCACTCCCCTCCCCATTCCACTATTTTTAGCCTGGAAGTCGGGAGCAGGAAGAAGAGAGATTCATCGGATAAACAGGCGCAGAGAGCACTCCTATAAAATCGCACGAGGAAAGACACGCGGTTCTGAGATCGCGATCACGTCGGTCTACCCACACGTTCTGTTTTCTGGTCTAAATAAAGTTTTCCCTTCTTCGTGCGACTCCCAGGTTGGGACACGAGTCTCCTTTTGCATAATTTATTATGCAGAAAATGTATCGGTTAAAGAACTCTCCATGGCGAAGATGTATAAAGCATACGCATCGTGGTTATGAGTCAAAAGGCATTTCACCATCGACTCAAAGCAAAGAACTAAGAAGAAAATGTCCAGGAAACAAAAAAGGCTTACATGGCCCGTATGGGGATCGAACCCACGACTTCCGCGTTATTAGCACGGCGCTCTAACCAACTGAGCTAACGGGCCTCGCTAATTCTTTGCGGTTATCATTCTTACCAAGCTGCAATTTGCGGACTTATTTTGCGAATGAAGCTCTCAGTTGGAAGTCATGGAGTGTGCGCACGCTGTGAAGAGATGCTGAAGAGCATTGTGTTCTGGATTTCGGATGGATTTATCCTTGCAAATCCCTAGCCATACACCAACGAGCCATCACGATCGACGCTTTGTGCACTCGCCTCAGGAAGCAATTAGATCAGGGAAACACCGACATGAAATCCTCGCCGAGCAAACGGGAGGAGCGGGAAGCAGAAGTGGAGGTCGCCCGAGTCCTCCGATTCTTTCCCAACGAGAGGGAGTTGGATGACGAAAATCGACAAGTGGAGTTACGATCGCTCAGCCTTCGAATGGGTCGGGTGGGAGTTTCGACAAGGATCCGCCAAAAATTCGAAGCTCCATTCTGCTCACATGTTTTGAGGTCGGGCATTTCGATGTAGCTTTCCGAATGCAAATATTGACTGAATGTTGATGAGATGTTCCCATTGATGGAACGGTAATGCTCATGATCCCATGGACGGTCAACATTAACTCCATGATAACAAATATCAACATTGCGAGGACGGTCTGCAATCGGACGGTCTGTTATCACGCTGGCGTAAATTCACGAGTACTTCAGCGATCAAATAGCGCATGTGCGCTTGAGTTCAACAGACTGCTGAGACGGTATTGAGAATTGTCTTATTTCGGCATTGAGTCAGTGTTGGTTCAATGATGGATGTCGAAACTTCAAAACAACGTTCCATCAATATTGTCGGGCAGACTGGAAACTTACGAGGAACGTTAACTGTGGCTCTTTTTTTTTCTTGGTGGATTCACGGGCACGAAGGGTATTTTTTTTAATATCCAGCAACGGCTATAAACATTTTAAATGTGATTTCTGCACTTTAGAGAGTCAAGTCATATTTCTTGTGAGGCCTCAGCTCTCGCACTGCGGTTTTGTCCCCTAGCAAAATTAAGTTGCAGTAAGTGTTCCAGTGAACTCATGCAATATGAACCCAATTGAATCTCCACCCAACAGTGCCGAAACCCTTCTCCACACATCAGATTAAAACAAACCTATAAATATATTAATATACTGAAAACAGAATCAGAGAACCTCCCACCTTTAAGAAGTAAAAAACAACAAAATGATCCCTTGAATATTAGTTGGCAGAGGAAAAAAACTTCCGTGGCCCGTATGGGGATCGAACCCACGACTTCCGCGTTATTAGCACGGCGCTCTAACCAACTGAGCTAACGGGCCAAGCACAGATAAAGCGATCGATCATCATTCTCAGCAAGGTGCACTTTGCTTGCTCCAGTGAATGGCGCTTTGAAGGAAGATATGGAGTGTGCGCACCATGAGAAGAAATACAGGGAAGTATTGTGTTCTGTAATACGGATTCACTCACGCTTGCAAGTCCTTACGCATGCCCAAGAGAGTCATCCCAATCCGAGATCTCTAAAGAAACAATGTGAATCGGCTAACACCGACAGGAAATACTCGCCGCGTGAGCTGGAGGAGTGAGGAGCAGAAGTGGATGGCGCATTATTCATCCGATTCTTCCTCTCGAGAGGGAGTTGGATGGCGAAGATTGGTCGGTGGGGGGTTGGACCCCGCAGGATCAAATTTTTTGGGGATTGTCTCTCGAGTGCATCTCTCTTCTCGGACTCTACGGTCGGTTAGGAGTTCTGTCTCGCCAAAAGTTCTAAGCGCGATTCTAGTCGTAGATATTGAGGATGGTCTCATACACTTTCGATATGATTTCCATGTTCTTGAGGGTCAAATCGTACTTCTCGCGAGCTCTCGCACAGCGGGTATCTCTTGTCGGTTACCATGTTTATTTGAGTTCCAGCCGTGTTTTCTTCCCTTTCTCATTCGCCCTGACCATTGCGTAGTTCATGTAACGCAAATACATTTGCACAATTACGACCTCACGTGGCCTCGTGATCATGATGGAATGGATGACGGATGAATAAATAAACTGATGAAAACGACATTTCAATAGCGGAAGGAAGCGCCATTCTGAAATACCACACTCACGGCGTTAAATCGTGTGGCAAAGGAAGGAAAATCGTGCGGAATGCGGAGGAGCGAGGTCGATGAGGGAAGAAGGTGTGGATAGAGGAAAGGCGCGCACGAGGGGAAATGAAGGTCGGCGGGTGGACGACGCCCTTCGCGGAATTACATTTTTTCTCCATCCGTTTCGTGTTCGTTGCGATCGATACGCCGGCATTAGGCGCACCGCTATTTGCCACGGATTTCTCGACGTAAATGGAGGAGCTAATTGCATCGTGTTTGCATTGGGTTAGGGAAGGATAGGTCGGATTTGATAAGAGGATGGGTGACTGTCTCCTTAGCCGCCTTTTCTAGGGAGAAAACGTGAGCCAAGATTCCGTCGCTGCCTCGGGTAAATAATATGCAGGGAGTTTCTCTTGGGAATTAATTAAATGAAATCCGAGGGGACGAAAGTTTCTCCGTTTCTGTAAAGTTTTCCTGGCGCAATTTCGAACGATCTGGTGACACGATGGACGCACAAAGCGTCACTCGTTCCGCATATCGAGAACAGAAGATAATTGCTACTGAGTAAACTTATTGCGAAAGCAATGAATCTCGTGGGTTTCGAAGACGGCGCAGATTGGTTGAAGGGTCAGTTGAATTTCGGCACCGCAGAAACCTCTCTCTCTGCTCGTGCGGTTCCAACAAAACTTTCCAGGTACCTTGAAAATGGCTCCTGATATCCTCTCGCCGCAAGTCGAAAGCCCCGATTACAAATTTGAGCAGAGGAAAAATACGTAGGCGTGGCCCGTATGGGGATCGAACCCACGACTTCCGCGTTATTAGCACGGCGCTCTAACCAACTGAGCTAACGGGCCGAACTCCTTCTATTTGCCACTAACAGCATGCTGTAATGTCTTTCCCCTGTCACTAAGTACCTTGATTCTGAGTGATTCTGAAGAGGAATTGGAAGTTAGTGACGGAAAGTAATGAATCTATGGACAGTGAAAGTGACAATGCCGGTAAACTTACACCAAAGCAAATCAAATATCAACCTGTAAATTTGTCGGCGTGCATGGAATATTTTATGGCAATTTTTGACCCCGGAATTCATTCTAACGATTTGCAAAAAAAAAATCAGGAGTGAAACTAAGTTCCTGCGTTCGAGTGGCAGGGTCGCCCAGGGAACTGTTACAAAAGGTACCACACCCTCAAATAATACATAATGTGTATTCAAATTTTCCTTAATTTATCTCTTGTAGTTTAGGAGTTACACATTTTTTCCGGGGATCTGCCTGGCCCGGGGGAGTTTAAGTGGCCATTTAAATGTCCGGCAGTGAATGTGTTAATGATTGGATTCCGATCGCTGGTCCCTTAGTCACAACTTTTCACGAAGAAGATGGAAAATAAAAATTCCGCGAAGGAAAGGAAACATGTTTTCCGAGGAAATGCAATACATTTTTCAGAGCACAATGAAAAGTCGGAAGAAAGAAACGTCACAGGTCGGCGAACCCTCCTCCTCCGCCTGCTTCGTTCACGCGTAGAACGGCGAAAGGGAAAGATTGCGGACGAGGTGCTCCATGTTCCGGTTCTGCATCTCCGCGGCCACCGACATCCTCCACAGCTTCTCGTCGATGGCCCTCAGCAGGTCGATCTGCGCGACGGCGTAGTCCTCCTCCTCCTCCGCCGCCGCCCTCCTCCCCCGCCATCCGTCTTTCCCGTCCGTGAATCTCCTCCCTCAATTTTGAAACGAGAAACGGCGGGCAATTGAATTCCGCAATTCTCCATGATTCACCTTCCACTCTTTCTCTCGCTCTCTTTCTCTCGCTCTCTACATCCGTCTTTCCCGTCCGTGAATCTCCTCCCTCAATTTTGAAACGAGAAACGGCGGGCAATTGAATTCCGCAATTCTCCATGATTCACCTTCCACTCTTTCTCTCGCTCTCTTTCTCTCGCTCTCTCTCTCTCTCTTTCTGTTATGCTCACGAATATATTCATTGTCGTTTTCAATGAATTCGATGAAATTCTCATCTTCATTACTTCAGAATTTAATTTCTTCATTCATGCTGCATTCATGCTTTGCCACTTTGCAGAGAGAGCATCGTGCACATCTCTGATGTCATGCATCTTTCAGGACTCGAAGGAACAGCGATCATAACCAGCCCGAATTGCAGCCTTCCTTCCCCGTTCCGAATCCCAGCTGGACCACGACCATGAATTCGCATGAGTCACATCTGAGAGTTAAATTTAGTATGGAATCTTGTGAGCAATCTCCGCGTTTCTTCAAGACTTTCGGGACGACGATGTCCAAAAAATTTCGACATTTCTGAGCTCCCTCCCCCCCTCCCCCCC